CTCAGATGTTCAAACATTCCTTTTTCTCCCACTTTACCTTCACGAACCAGGAAAATAAAGTTAAAGCATCTAATTCCCAACATTCAAACTCTACATGGTGGAATTAAAATCCTCCTAGTAAAAATGACAGGGTGTCAAAATTTTCCTTTCTTTTCAAGAAAATACATACAGGTCGTAGCAGATCCTTAAGCATAAACAAGATGGAAAGAAATAACATGACAACTAAGCAAACCAACTTGGAAGGACAAAGAATGTTGAAAAAAACAGCTTTGAACCAATCTTAGAAAAATATACTAAAAAAGACTCTGACAAAGTGAATTTCTCTGCAAGTGTTTTGCTTTTTATTAATAAAACAGGAACTCACAGGGGAGTAAAGACATTTTGACACCATGTAACATATATTCCAAACTAATTTTAGTACAACCACTACACTCTGATACAAATCCTTGCTTGACCTCATATTATCCCATAATAATGGAAGTTCCTGAAAATAAAATGTATTGAATGAAAAATAAAATCCAAAATAGTAAACCTCCAGAATACACAAAGTAGGGCTGGAGATATAGCTCAGTGGCATAAACGCCTGCCTGGCAAGTGTAAGGTCTTGAGTTTGACCCCTGGTCCTACAAAACACAAAATGAAACAGTCTTTCCAGAATATACAAAGTATTTATTTATACAAGGTATGCAGCTACAATAGTACAACACATAGATGTCTTCAGTCATGAAAAAAGTCTGAAGAACAGACACCCATTCATTCTTCTTCACTAAGACCAAACAAATTAAAACAAAATATTTTTAATTCCAAACAAAATTCTCAATTCCATATTTGAGAATAAAATTCAGCTACTAAGACTTAACTGGAAAATAAGAAAAGGGAGAATACATGAAAAATCATGAATATTGAATCAATTTTAAATATATCTAATAATTAAGAAACAACATAAGTGTATAAACTTTGGCAATATACAGGTAATATCATAAATAATAAAACCAAGAGGTCAGAGAATAAAAGAAGAGGCTTGTGCTCATCATTCAGACCAGAGAAACTGTTAAAGTAATCTGCAACTGAATTATGTGGATCCTAAAATGATTTTAAATTTTCACTAATCTTTTCTTAACTTTAGAGGTGCCTATCAAGAAATAATATTTCCTGTTCTGAATTCAACACTTATTTGAAGTTTAAGAATCCATTCAAATTCATTTCAGCTTCATTTGGCTTCTTCTTACTTCAATACTTATTTATAAAAAGAGCACACATTATATGTTAATAATGATAAAAAATGGATTTAGGGTGATTTTTTAAAACCTCTTTTTACTTTTCTGCATGACTTGAACTCATTATAATGAGCAAGCATTATATTTGCAAAATCAATAAAGTAATTTTTCTTTCAAAAATGAACAGGAAAGATAAAAACAGGGAGACATTTAATTTTTCAACAAACTGATTTTGAGCTCAATAAACACTGTGTTGTAATTTAATTATTTCTCAGACTTAAGAATTTCTCTACACTTGGATAGATCTCATCTCCAAATTCCAGATAAGCACTTCCATTTGAAAATCCTTTGATCCTGTAAACAGAATTTAGCATGCAGAATAAGTCCTAGCATTTAAATTACTTACTTGGCTGCTAAATCAACAACATAGATGAGATCCAAGATTGGAGCGAGAGGGAATGGATGAAGCCTTAAGACTAAGAATTATTACATTATTATAAGAATACAAAAAGAAAAGAATCCTGCTTTTAAGCCATTTTTCTTTCTGCTTCTTCTAATTATATCTACATCCATTTCATTTGAGTTGATGCCCATTTCTGTTGGCAGGGGGACTCATAAATGCTTTCCTATTACACATAGGTCTTATGCTTCCAGGTAAAAACCAACACTTACAGAACATGAACAACGGAAGCACATATGTTTTCTCAAACACTCTCATATAAGTTACTGAATAGCGTTTCCCTCTTCAATCTCAGAATTTTTGGTACATTACCTGGATTCCATAAGGGTAAAGATCCTGGCATATTTTTACTCATATTTTCTCTTCAAGAATTTTAAGGAAGAGATGTCTTTATAGATATCCTTTTACCATGTCACTTTGTCTCCTTGCTATGTAGATGTGGTAGATAGGATTTTACCCCACCCAAATATGTTCACATCTAAATTCACAAATTTGTAAATACAAGGTGTGATCAAAAAATACATCTGGGCATCGTGTTGCACACCTGTGAAGCCCACTACTTGGGAAGCTGAGGCAGGAAAATCATCAGTTCAAGGTCAGTGTGAATTGCATAGCAAGATCCTGTCTCAAAAAGCCTAAAGAAAAATAAGTTTAAATTTTATGAAAATTTACAATAAGAGACACATCACCATTAATCCCTCTCAAACTACACTCATGCACATTTATCACATTGTTTTGGCAATGTGCCTTTCTGTAATGTTTTTAAAAATTTAAACATTCACCATATCTTTCAACCATCCCTTGTATATAATATGACAAAAGGGAATTCAGGTTGCAAATAAAATTAAGGTTGCTAATCAGGTGACCTTGAGATGGGGAGGTCATTCTGAATTACCTGGACAGACTTAATGTAAAGGTCTTCATAAGTGCAAGAGCAAGGCAGGAGAGTAATGTCTAAAGACACCAACGACAAAGATTCATACCTCTCCCACCAGTTCTGACTGGGAAGATGGAAACCCACCACTGACCAAGGGAATCACTCCCCACCCAAAGCAGGCAAAGGCAGAGATGCTTGTCTGGAGCTCCCAGTAAGATGTTAGTCCAGGAAGACCCACTTTGGATTTCTGAACCTCAAAATTTTGTGTTGTTGTATTAAGACACTACATTTGTGGCAATTTGAGACAGCAGCAATAGACAACACAGTAAATGAAAGGTGTCTTTGTTAGTTACTCTTCTAGTGGTGGAGACCAAATATCCAAAATAGGGGAGGAAAGGTTTATTTGGCTGATGCATGGTTTGTAAAGGTTTCAGCCTACAACTGGCTGACTCCAAGTCAGAGTGGTACTTGGCAGTGGGACAACCATTCATAGTAGTGAACAGCAAGAGTAACAAAAGAGAAACAGCTTATGGCTGCCAGAATGTAGCAAAGCAACCAGAGGGGGAGACAAGACTCTTTCTGTGCCTTATATTGTATGTAGGCTACCCACATACTAAGGCACATAAGCACCAAAAAGATCCAGATTATAGTATCAACTCCAGTATCTACTATGAGGCCTAGAGTGAATAATTCAACTTCTATTACTCTGAAATTCTTCATCTATTGGTGGAACTAATAATTAAGAAATAGTTTTGTTTTGTTTTTTTGGTGGAACCGGGGATTGAACTCAGGCCTTTGTGCTTGCCAGGGTAGTGCTTATTCCACTAAGCCATCTCCCCAGACCAAAAGGGCAGAAGGACTTTTTTTTTTTGTGGCCTCAGGATGCCTTCAGGGCAGGTCTGGTTTGGCTTGAGGATCTGGGGATCGTACCACAACATCCTGAGCCTCACTGCTTTGTTTAAGCAGGCACTTAAACAACTGAGCTAATGGGCAGGCCCCCAAGAAATAGTGGTGTATAGTGATTGCTGGATATTTTTAAAAAATGATCTTCATAACATTTTTCATAATAACAAATATCATCTTGCAAATAATTGAGTGACAATCTTAGTCCTAGACAGAACTATAACAAACCAATCAATGGGCTGATTTACTAATCACACTGTCTTAATCTCAGTATCACACACCTCTGAAGAAGCCCTATGACTGCATGAGGCTTTGTGGGAAGGGACATCCAGACACAAACCATACCAGTGGTGTATTCCTGGATGATGTTTCCTTGCGTCCATGGATACAGCAAGACCTTAGGCAAAACCTAAAGTAGATGTCTTGGACATCTTGTTCCCTTTTGCACTCTACTGTTCCTTCTGGTTGTTTGGCTTCATAGAAATGACAGAATTTTTGAAGTGTGCAAGGCATTACTTATGCTACACTATCTTCTCAGGATGAGAGAAGTAACCTTCACTTTGGGTGTATTTGCTCCTTCAAAGACCTGAATGTGGAAGGTAGGAAAGATCCTTGCTCTCCAAAGAATGGACATTCCCAGGAAATCTTCAGTCGTCTTTATTATGGATGTAGAGGAAATAAGAGCAGCAAGAAAGTGGAACAAATCTGACATAAACAGAGTTGGTGTGTAAATTCTGTAGCAGAAAAAAGTTAGTAGCTATCCAGGCACATAGATGTCTGCTTTATATCAGGGAGGGAGAAAGGCAGGTATCAAGCATCAGGACAGGTGGCAGATAATGTCTGTACATGGGCATATGTTTAATTGTACAAGAAGCTAATAACCCAAAGAAAAGGTAGAAGAGACAAGAGACTGATTAATTGACTATTTATGGTAAAAGTACAAAAAGCCTTCCTGAATTCCTGCTAAATTTCTAATCCATACAAACGTCTAATATAAAGATTTACATATTGCCCTTACATGGAGTTATCCTTGGATGTCATCCAAGCATGGAGTTGGAGCTCAATGCTCCTATCAGGGAATGATATAAAGCTGCATGAGTGCATCCATACTCGTTATGGTTTAGCTCTAAAACATGCCCTCAAATTCTAATGTGTTCAGAGGCAGGGCTTTTGGAACATTGTTAGAACATGGAGCAGCTGTACCCATCACAGTTATGGATTTGTCACATAACTGAATATTTTGTTAGGAAGTGTGGCCTGGTTGACAGAGGTGTCCCTCAGGGTGTGACCTGGAGGCTGTATTCTGGTCCCTGCCTCTGTCACTTTCTTCTGCACCCTAGCACCACACGTTGAGCAGCTTTTTCCACTTTGCCCTCTCCATGCTGCTTCTGCCTTGCAATTAGCCAACTACAGACTGAATTCTTTGAAACCATGAGCCAAAATAAGCTTCCTCTCCTTCAAATTTTGAGTCTTTGGTATTTTGTCCCATCAATGGAAAGTGACTAATACAACACTAATCATTATATCCTTATTCTTCTTAAAGCATACTTCTGAGTCCCATGCTCACTGCAGCCTTTATTAGGTTTTACTGGATGAGAATAAAACAACCAGACAAACTCACTCCGGCAGTATAACACAGCATGGTGGTTTATCTCAATCTTTACTGTTTCTACTGGTGTTTTGTTTTTGTTGTTTTTAACCCCTGCATAACAGAAAGCTAGCTAAGGCACCACAAACCCATCAGTAACAGTAGTTTTCTATAGCAAGTGTTCTCATTGGAAACTTGGTAGAAAGGATTTGTCACACCATGAAGGAGTGATTGTAAAAAGCCCCTTTCAATGATTCTGTTGTGTGTAGCCTCCTGGCCACACCACCACTGGAGCAATTCTACTTGGCTGAAAATCTCTAGTAGTTTCACCAGGGGGTAAGAAGTCTGGAATTTGAGACCTCTTTCCATGACGAATTTGATGTAGGCTTTCTGGGATAATTCATGACCCATGTGCAGCAAAATCACCTCATATAGTTTTGTAGATACAAATTTTGCTACCCATGCTAAAATGCTCTGATGGTATTGGTCAAGGTCTCTATTACTGCAATCAAACGTGAGCATTTGGCACTATGAAGACTGAAAACTTTATGTTGTAAATGCTGTTGGACAAGTTGTTGCACTTCTTTGGTTCCTAAATATAAATACAAGAGGTTTGTGCTGGAAGGTATTTAGAGATCTTTCAGTTTCTACTGCATGGCAAAGTAGAAAGGTAGGCACTCAAGCACCAAAAGGATACAGGTTACAGTATCAACTCCAGCATCTACTATGAGGCCTAGAGTGAATAATTCAACTTCTGTTACTCTCAAATTCTTCATCTGTAAGTGGAACTAAAAGTTAAGAAATAACTGTGGTATATATAGATTACTGGATATTTTTTAAAAGGATTTCATAACATTTTTCATAATAACAAATACCATCTTGTAAGTAATTGGATGACTTAAACTTAAAGTGTTGTAGGCTTTTATAACAGTAATCATCATGAAGGTTCTTGAATGCTGGAACATCTATCCATTTTATACATACAGGTAGGGCATATTGATCATATATTCAGAATAATAAAGCACAATAAAACTTGGTGACTTTAAACAATAAGCACTTGCAGTTGCTTGTGGAACTATGGGTCTGCCAGACACGTTCCACTCTTGGCTGGCCTTACTGATGCACCGTAGGAGGTTATCCTAATCCTGACTAGATCCTTTCCTGTTTATGAATGGGCTAGCCATGGTTTGGTCTGCATGACCTTGGCTGGAACATGTGGGCTGTCCTACACCCCATCGCTCACATTTTACTAGGCTATTGTAGGACTGTTTGCATAGTGGTACTAGTGTACTAAGGGACAGGAAAGACATGACTCTTAAAACCAGTATTTGAGGGCTGCGGAGATAGCTCGGTGGTCTAACCACTTGCCTGGTAGCACAAGGACCCAGGTTTGATCCCCAGTACTGCATACAACCCTAGGCACACCTGGGATTACAGGTGTGTGCCACCTGAGCTGAGGAGGCTGAGACAGAGGATCACTACAAGTCCAATCTGTGTAGCGAGACCCTGTACCAAAAAAATAGGTAAATAAATAAATACCAGTGTTTGAAACAGGCATATTGCTAATACTGTCACATTCTATTAATCAAAGCATTTTACAAGATTCTAAGAATGGGAATGGAGGTTCTTTCTCTTGATAGGAGAAAAAGCAAACTCACAGAACAAAGGATGTACTCCTTTGTTTAAGTCTAGAGCAGTGTTTTCAAATTCTTGCATGAATTTCTTAGGGGCAAGGGAGATAGATCAGCGGCATAAGCACCTGCCTGGCTAGTTCAAGGTCCTGAATTCAATCCCCAACACTGAAAAAAAATTCTTAGAAAGTTTCTTAAAGCATAAGATTCTGGGTCCACCTGAATTTCTGATTTAGTAAGTCTAGGTTATGGCCCAATAATTTGCATTTTTAACAATTTCTCAGGTGATAATAGTGCTGACTGTGGGCCAGGGAGATAGCTCAGTAGAATAAGTACTTGCCTGGCAAGCGCAAGGCCCTGAGTTCAAAAAACAGTAAAAAAAAAAAAAAAAAAAATAGTGCTGACTGTGTTTTGAAAATCACTGGTCTACACTGGAGCATCCTCTATGTAAGAAAAAAATCTTTTAATGTACATGTATAATTTTATTTCTAAGTAAACTTTATTTCCTACATAATATAATATCTATTGTTCATGATATATTTATCGCCTAGAAAAATATGAAATCTTAAGAATACAAATACTGTTTTCACCTTTCGGCTAGAAGGAGGCTAAGATGTAACTTTCTTTGGTTGTCCCGAATCCGGGTTCATTTGACACCAGCCACCTGCAGCATGCTGCCCAAATTCAACCCCAACAAGATCAAAGTCATGTACCTGAGGTGCACCAGTGATGAAGTTGGCGCCACATCTGCCCTGGCCCCCAAGATTGGTCCCTTGGGCCTATCTCCAAAAAAAGTGGGGGATGACATTGCCAAGGCAACTGGTGACTGGAAGGGCCTGCGGATTACGGTGAAACTGACTCAGGCTCAGACTGAGGCGGTGCCTTCTGCCTCTGCCCTGATCATCAAAGCCCTCAAGGAGCCGCCAAGAGACAGAAAGAAGCAGAAAAACATTAAACACAGTGGAAATATTATTTTTGATGAGATTGTCCACATTGCCCGACAGATGCGGCACCGGTCTTTAGCCAGAGAACTTTCCGGAATCATTAAGGAGATCTTGGGGACTGCCGAGTCTGTGGGCTGCAACGTGGACAGCCGGCACCCTCATGACATCGTAGATGACGTCAACAACGACGTTGTCAAGTGCCCAGCTAGCTAAGGAGAATAAGAAAATACATCAATAAAGAGATGATCTGACAACCAGCAGTCTTTTCTTGAAGGACCTCATTCCTGGTGAGGTGATTAGTGGGCCTGTGGTGGCAGGACCTGTAAGATACCCTGGGCCACAAACTCATGGGTGACATTCTGCTCTATATGGGATAAATTTGAGGGAAAAAAACTGAAATGAACATCGCTTTTTACAGACACACACACACACAAAAAGAATACAAATACTTTATAGAGCACTTTGATTTTCCTGAAAAAAAAAAAGGTCTCTTTTGATCCTACCCTTAAACACAGTGAACTCTAATCAATCATAAACCCATGAAAGATTTCATTTTTTCTCTTCCTTTATCTGGCCCTTCTATATTTTATGCTAATTCCACACAAAATACAATTCAGTTAATGAGGGGAAGGTATTTTTGAGCCAAATAAGAATATCATCTTTAATATTTTGCTAAAATTAATGAGAAATAATCAAATAATTGAAAAGACACATTCCTATTCCACTCAGATAAATGAAGGAAGAGACTCAGAGGAGCTGTATAACTTGCATCTAACCTCCAATTTTTTTAAAAGAATAATTTTATTGAGAAACAAATAGCAATGAGACAGTTTCAAAACTGATTACTAGCACAGTTTCAATGATTAATAAGTTGAATTTTTTTTCTTTTTCTGCGGGTAACCTCCAATTTTTATTTAATCACTTTTACTTGACATGTTATGAACATGCATGATTTAAATCAATAGTCATCTACCTTATACTTTCAGTTCCAAGTGATCAAATACCTCCGAAGATCTTTTGTAAACTCCAAGCTAATTGTCCTTCCTAGTTCTTAGAAAAATGCATCCAGTTTCCTATTCTTTATTAACAGGGAAGAAAGAAGTAATTACTATGTTCTTACCGATTTTTTTTAGACCATTTCCCTGGAAAGATAGGCATTAGTTCCCTTATACTGTGGAGAATGAGACTTAGGCTAAGAGATTTACCTATAATCACACATGGACCCAGGCCTGGTTTAGCCAGGATCAAATTACTTTCTTGTACATCAAACCAAATAAATATCCTAATCAGCCCATGTTCATGCAGCACAATTTTCTCCTAATTAGCTGAGCTACTTTTAGAGTTGCAGTTCTTGGTATCAACACTTAAAAACAGAAAATAACCTTTCTATTTTTAAGTGTTGCAAATTTCTCACTATCAGGGTATCATGGTATTGTAAGTAATCTTGTCGATTACCTAGCATATGCAAAAGTACATAAAGCCCATGCTCACCGTCTTATTTAATATTCACAACTCAAAGACAGATACTATTTTTGTCTTCACTGAACAGATTTATAAAAAACACATTTACTTGGTTAAATTACCACTCAAGTTACACAGTTAGAAAGTACTAAGATTGGTGCTCAAATGAAATTCAGTTTGATTTAAAATCTTAATATCTTACCCATGGTCCTATTCTGTCTTGCTACTTGCACTTTAAAAAAAAATCAACAATTGTAAAGTGATAGTACTAGAAAAAAATCAATTAAACACTGAGCCTATTTCAGAAGAATAAATTTATGGCAGAGTGGAAGGGGAAAAGAGCAAAGGAAACTTCTGGTTAATTCAAAGAAGTTGTAACTGAAAGTAACTGAGACTGACGTGTTTAGCTAACACATGTGACCAAGTGTGTGGGCCGCCAGAACAGTCACCTTCAGGAGACATATGCTTATCTGAAGAATGCCATCGCTGCTGTAACACATTTTCAGATCAGCCATAAGTCTGATTATCCTGTATAGATGCATAATTGGGGTAGCTGTTCTTTTCTTTTGCATTTGCTTTCTTAAAGCTAAAAACAAAGTAGAAAACTCACCCTATATTATCTATTTTTTAAGTGGTAATCTTAGATTTGACTTTGAACAGCTTTTTAGGTATTTTCTTAGCTCAAGTTGAATCTTCAGAGAACACACTTGTTAGCATTACTATGTTGCTGCCACTCCCTATAATTGGAACTCAAATGATGAACATAATTTTCCCCAGCCCCTGAAGTGCTGAGGACAAAGCCAGACCTGGCACATGCTAGTCAAGTGCTGTACCACTGAGTTACTCCTCCAGCCTCCAGATGTAATGCTAAAGAAAATAGGCAAAGTTGTTTGGAGCTATGACAGGAGCATCATCAGTTAAATAAATACATTTAGTTTTCCAAAGTGTTATGCACTGTTATGTGGGGCTTTGGGAAGGTAATTGGGTTATGGTAGTTTATAGCTGACATG